TGATTACATGTCATAGATGACAGTAAAAAAAATCAAGTTCATACGTCATTCATACTCCAATAGATTAAGTCATTGCCTATGATATCATGAACATGGGATCGAATCGCTAACCCCATACCCAACCCTCCTCCTTTATTCGGAGTTGGAATCGGCAATAACCCCATAGTGACTATTATTATTATTTTAACTTTCTTCTTAAAAAGATATATAAACAAATTAAAAATTCCGTACCAAAAAAAGTAAAAATGCGAAACATTGAACATTTTTTTACTTTATTTCATATGATTATTATGCTAATAAGATTAATGTGATTCACTTTGAACAATTAAAAAATGAATATAAGAATAAAAATTTTTGAACTAAATAAGTTACAATCGATTTCTTTTCTAACCATTCTCTCCCACCTTTACAAAATTAAACAGAAATAAATGAAGAGTTGATTTCAAGCGAAGGGAGTGAAAAGAAAAAGAAGAAAAATAAATAAACGAATAAATGGTACCAAGTGTAAAACAAAACAAAAAGGAAATAAAATTGAAATGAAAATAAAATGGCATCTTAATCTTTGCAATTTTTATCGCCTTCAATTCAACGAAATATGATTATGATGATAATAGATAAACAAAGAAAATAAACGATAACCTTTATTTTGAATAATTAAGATTAAATGTATCATTTTCAGTGATGTTTTTAAGATGAAAGATAAAATTACCATGGTAAAACAGGGGAATATTAATTTCAATGGTAATCTGGTGCATGATACTTATATTGACAGATATAAGTAGTATGTAACACCAATCACAGGTGGAAAGCCTATCAAAAGGAAGTTGAGAAGATTGAACTGAAACAAGCAGAAAGGAATTAAGAAGTAGAAGAATCATAAAGGATGTAAAGGACAATTGATGGGAGATTTACAAATGAAGTAATTAATGTATGGTTTTCATATTTTAACAAAGAACTCTGTAATTTTGTGTTAGATAATAAATTGGCTATCCTCACCAAGTCTTCGTTTATTACAATAAGGCTTTAGACTGTAAAGTTAGCTACTGCGCTGTAAAACAAACCAAGGTGTACCATTTCCCTTACGATCACAGGTATGATTTGCTGACGGATTTTGAACAGAATGAAATTTAACGACCATGATGTGTCGATTGTCTGTAATCACCTAATATTAGTTTTATGTTTGACAAGAATGAATAACAAATTAATATAAACCCAATGATATTTGAAAGAAAAGTTTATTTATGTAAATATTTATGATAAATCACCTCGTATCTTACGTTTCTATCAAGACTGTAATTTGATTGTAAGTCCTGCAATTCATGTTTTGTCTGTTAAAGCCAACATATTCATACTGAGTTTTGTAATTAGAATTTGGAAAACAAAACTCAAATCTTAAAATATTCTTTATTTATTAAATCTCAAAATGTCAGTATACAAAGATTACGGAGATGATTAAATGTCATTAAGAATATCAAACAACCATTGAATTATAAGCTACATTAAACAGTCGTCTCGTGATGGTATGAGACTCCTAAGTATAGCACCATCGTTGTTCAAATCGATTGTCTTCAGGTCTTTTACAGAACATTAAATATTGAGACAATTGTGGTGGCATCCAATCCAATCTGATATTGTTGAATCATCTGATATTGATTACGGTAAAATATTCAAATTTAATGAATATTTTGTGGCTTAAATCAATGATATTTAAGTATCATCAACTAACTACAGGTAGTGAATCATTGAGATTCATAGTATACTAGACAACTGTTTCATTCTTGTTTTTAATTCTTATTCAGTATGAAAACTCAAAACTTAACAAAAGATTTTCTTATGCACACTTTCAAACAGCTTGACTATGATAAACTGTTGTTTATACATTCGAATTCATTCAGCTTGTGATACTGAATGATGATCATTTATTACAACCAGTTAAATCTGTATAAATCAGAATCACTTTGAACTCTGCCATCAATTATTTGTACAAGCAATCAATAAATTCAATATAAAATACTATTTTGTTTTACTCGACAATCAGTTTGTTTTATTTCTTTTTCATAACCAATAATGACTACTATGTAGATGACTTTGTTTGAATAATTAGTGAATTTTCTTTGATTATCTCTGAAAAATTGTTTTTATCGATTTATTATTACATTTACAATAAAATATCTCTCGGTTAATTTTGATAAAATTTTGTTCGTTGAACTGAATGGTTTGGTCATGGAGCTTTCATCGTTCTTCTGAATGACATTATCAGCATAAAATTCAGGTGAAAATTGTAGCTAAGTGGATAACACGATGGCGTTTTAAGCGAACTACACTGGGTTCGAGTCTCGAATTGAACATCAAATCTGAGATACAAGCACATCCGGCTAATGAATCCCATATAGGACGAAACGAACGTCCTAAATTCCACTGCTAGCCACTATCCATCTTTGTTTAGAATGCTTATGAGTTAAGGCAATATCGGGGCAATACGCATAGTATGCATATATGCCAATAAGGGACTAATCGATTACAGTCCTAAACATCAATGAGTAGATTCAAGTAAAGCGATACCAAGTGAATTTAAAAATAGTTAATGTATTTTATATAATATCCACTTGATAATAATAATAATAATAATAATAATAATAATAATAATAATAATAACAATAATCGCATCTTCATTGCTAACTTCTCTTGTCAAAAAAACTCGTTTATCATACTGATAGTAGTTGAACAATTTGAACTGTTAAATGTCTACTTAGCATTCTGAAGTTGTCATATATGCTACAAGCTCTAACTCATGTTGATTTGTAGCTGTTCATTGTGGTTTTTAAAATTATAATAAATTATCAGTATGAGGTTGTGGAGATCAATAAGTTTTTGATTGAGATCATGAACCGATTGATGTTAGACCACCATTGAGAACCTGGTGGGATTAATCCATGTCGGGTAGAGACAGGTATCTACCTCAGTACAATGGAAGATGGTCACACAATTTCGTGGATTGGTTGAGGTTAGATATTAACAGTGTTGGATATTGGCTCAGTAGTCTAGTGTTTAAGCTCTCTCGCGCGAGACTGATAAGTCCTGGTTTCGAATCTTGCGGAATGCGATCGTGGATGCTCACTGCTGAGGAGTCCCACAACAGGGCAAAACGGCCATCCAGTGCTTCCAGGTTTCTAATGGTGGTCTAACATCATTCGGTTCATGATCTCAATCAAAAATATAATAAATTAGTTATGTAGTTTTCCATGGATTATAACTGCAGACGTTAATAACAGATATCAAATCAATGTTTTGTCGTCAAGATCTGAAAGTGTGTCAGTAATGTTTGATGTTTTGTATAATAGTTTATTACTGTGTATAATTAATCAAGCCGAGTGGGTGATTTGATTAAAATCAGTATGTTTATTTATGGGTTCTGTTCATTACTTAAGATTTCCTTAGAATAGAATATAGACAACCAATCTCAGCCTGTATCTGTTGGATTACCCTAAGACTGTATTGGACTCAGTAGTTTACTGGTTCCCTATTCTATATAATACTAAAATGACACAGTTTCCAGGCTAGTAAGATATCAATACAGTAATGGAAGTCTGATATATGCCCTGGTCCGGCCGAGAGTGGGGAGAGTCCGCTCTCCCTCTCGGAATGCTCTCACACGGCCTCGCGTATATGGCCTCTGCCAGGGAAGTCCTATTCACTGCCTTTTCGTGGTGGAGGTGTTGTTTACAAAAATGAGGGGACGAAAAGCGAATGTCTGGCGCTTTAACCGGATCCCAAACCAAACCAATGGTGCACATGGGCTCCAGTATCCTGCGGGAACAAATGGCGAATGAACCAAATTCAGGTCACCGGCTTCCATGGGACTGCATCTCCTTACGATGCTCCGCTGCTTTGTGGATCAGACCCTCACGTCGAAGGCTCGGGGTGTGGCCCTCTAAGAAAACCACCTGCTTCGGTCTGGGTATCAGCGCAGTATCACAGCCCTCAAACATATCGAATGAGATTTGTGTGGCGCATATATATTTGGTGCCTCCTTGTACCAATATCTATGTGTTGAAATAAAATAAAATAAAATAATATTGAGAAGGCCAAATTTCATACACGCTAATCTGCAAACAAACCAACTGTTAAAATAGCTACTGGGTTTGAATCATTCACTATGTGAATTTGATTTGCTAGACGAATCATTTAGTATTTGAATCAATCAATGGATGAATCAGTGAATGAGTTTATATGATCCCATGTGTTTAGTCCAATAAATAATTATATGAACATAAATAAAGGTTAATACATAAATCATAGAAAATGAACGTTTGTATAAGCAATAAATCACTCATTCGAGAATCGGTAAGAATGATTGATGGGATCGGAAATGTATTTACTAACCAGGCATTTTTTTATTTGTTAAGAAAGGAATACATTTGCGTAAAGGCTCTAACAACCCATTTATGAAATAGCTCATAGTTATTGTTTACACTGTAACAATCAGCCTTTGCTATGCTTGTGTCTAGCCTGAGGGTACTCTGAGTGCTGATGGAGTGCATGTGAGAAAACGTATAGGATAAATTCTCGAAGAGAATAAAATAAGAGAACGGACTGAACTGATGACTCAGTAAGCACATGAAAAACACATATAATGGAGATGGTGATTGACAACAATTAACAAGAATATAAGCGTAAAATTAAGGTAAACTAATAATTGAAGATAGAAATTCGTAGCATGGAATCTGGAATGAGTTACGATATGACGATATTATTCTGCATGATAGTTTGTTAAATAAGATACAAGCTCAAATCCTGAATGACTTAATAGTTTTTCATGAATATTTCATAGGATAGTATAACTAGATAAATTTTAGGATCCATAATTGAGAAAAAACTGTAAGTATGGTACTATATTAAGTCCACATAGGTTATTTTCAACCTTTGGACAGATCAATCTATTCGTTCTGACCTTTTCACTTTTTCGCTTATCAACGTTGATTGATTTTATCTGAGGATGTGTCCATTTCTTATCTTACTCATCACGTGTTTTGTTACTTATTTTTGTCTGACTATAAATATTGACTCACGCTTGGTTAAAAAGAGTTGGCTCACTCTCTTTCTTCACTGCACGTCATTTCGTTTTGTTTCACTTTCCGATCAACGAAATATACGTATTCAAAAATCCATTCTTTTATTTGACTTATTCATCAGCGCGACTTAAGTCGGTGATTATATACGAGGACTGGCGATTTGTATGTTTCGATAGCAATCAGAAACGATCCAATTAGAGTCAGATTAAAGGCCACGAAAGAAATACATCTGATAGGTTATTGTAAATCAGTAGAATCTGTATCATGGAATGTTACTTCAAAATTCAGATAGAGATGATTGAACAATAAATTTTAGATACTTTGTGACAAATACATCAAAAGCCATTAATCGCCATTATTGAATATCAAATGTATGTCATATATCATACTTTACGTGACATATCCATAGCTGATAAAATATGACAGTTATCTAGGGGTGTCCGTTCATTTTAGCACTAAACATAGTAGTAGGAAACGAATAAGGCTTGAACCAATATCTTCCATGCTAATCCTTAATGATACCATCTAATCCTCTGAAGACAATTAGAAAATTTTTTCATATAAATGATCAGCATTTTAATTTGTGTTAAAATAATCCTCATTCTAATGACATTTTGGATGTTTTGAAATCGAAACCAACCACAAATAATCAGTCATTATCATTTCTAACCTGCGTATACCAGTGTTACGTGATTTATTCAACATGATAACAATACACTATCACATTTCATTGAGAAGGAACCGGAGAATAAGATTACTTATTGACTTTTTGTTATTGATACCCACTGTAGTATAAAATCACAAACAAATAGTCAGTTCAAATATATTACTGGTAAATTTGAATAACGAAGAAATTTCAGTTGTTTACATCAAACTGATATGTTACCATTTATTCATGAATAGTATAACAGAGCACATTGTTTAAAGTTTCATATTACAGAGTGACTTTAATCAGACAATCATTGTAAGCACTTAATATGTATTTTGCATTGTTATGAGAGTTTTTAATAACAGGTATCCGCTATCATATAAGTGATCAAACTTAGGAATTTTAGGTCTCAGAGCGAGGGCTTAAGTAAACTACATTATTCAGACGTTGATTCCTGAACATCTAACTGGCGATCACTTAATACTTATCGTCAGGATCGATCAAGAAATAAGAAAAAGGAAGCTTGTTGAAATACTATGTGCTGAGAATTATATATTGTACCAAAAATACTATATTGAATAAAGCCAATAATAATAATAATCTATGACACTTTGCGATATATTTATTTTATATTTACAAATTAATTTACTGAAATGGAAAAATCAGTATTATGTTGATCGAAACTGTAAAATATCGTTAAAATAAACAAACCTCCAGACTATGCTACTCTAGTCATATAATAAATATCATTTTCAATTCTTTATTTTACCATTGTCCGAATTCCTTATTCACAGATTTTTATCACGTACAATTATCTTTGTTACATAACCAATGTAAATTATTTTCATTTTATTACTTCTTGTAATATTACGCAACTTATGTTCGATACATGAAATTTCCTCGATAAAACATTTAAATAGCACCGTTAATGATGTAACACCTTTTAATTTTATGATAGACTTCAGTGTATAAAACAGTTGCATTTATAAAACTTTAATGAATAACATCAGTAAAAAAAAGAAATATAACTTTCGAAATGTTCATATTTAGTTTAATGGCTCAATGGATATCAATTGTTGAGATCATGAGTCAATTGAAGTTAAACCACCATGGAACAACTGTAAGCACTGGAAGGCCGTTTCATCCTAGTATGGGACTCCTCAGCAGTGCGCATCCACGATCCTGCTCCTCGCAAGATTCGAAACCAGGACACATCGGTCTCGTG